AACAACTGATGATCCAACAACGACAACAGCTGCTCCAACCACAACCACTGTGGCACCAACCACAAACACAGCTGCTCCAACCACAACCACTGCAGCAACAACCACAAAAACAGTAGAAGCAACAACAACATCTGCTGCTCCAACAACAACAACTCCTGCACCAACCACAACAACTGCTACTTCAAAAACGACAACAGGTGCACCATTCACAACAACATCTGCTCCAACCACAACCACTGCAGCAGCAACCACAACAACATCGGCTCGAACCACAAGCACTGTGGAAGAAACCATAGCCACAGCTGCTCCAACCACAACAACAGCTGCTCCAACCACAACCAAAGCTGCTCCAACCACAACAACGGTGGCACCAACAATCACAACTTCTGCTCCAACCACGACAACAGCTTCACCAACCACCACCACAGCTGCACCAACCACATCAACTGCTACTCCAACAACCACAACTGCTGCTCCAACCACGACAACAGCTGCTCCAACCACGACAACGGTGGCACCACCAACAACAACTGCTGCTCCAACAACGACAACAGCTTCTCCAACCACAACCACAGCTGCTCCAACCACAACCACTGCAGCAACAACCACAACAACAGTAGGAGCAACAACAACAACTGCTGCTCCAACAACAACAACAGCTGCTCCGACCACAACAACAGCTGCTCCAACCACAACAACAGTGGCACCAAAAACAATAACTGCTGCTCCGACCACGACAACAGCTGCTCCAACCACAAAAACGGTGGCACCAATAACAACAACTGCTGCTCCAACCATAACCACAGCTGCTCCAACCAAAACCACTGCTGCTCCAACCATAACTACTGCAGCACCAACCACAAAAACAGTAGCAGCAACAAAAACAACTTCTGCTCCAACCACGACAACAGCTGCCCCGACCACAACCACAGCTGCTCCAACCACAACCACAGCTGCTCCAACCTCAACCACTGCAGCACCAACCACAACATCATTCGCAGCAACAACAACAACTGCTGCTCCAACAACAACAACAACTGCTCCAACCACAACAACAGCTGCACCAACCACAACCACTGTGGCGCCAACCACAACCACTGCTGCTGCAACCACAACCACTGTAGCACCAACCACAGCAACAACTTCAACCACAACCGCTGTGACAACAACCACAACCACATCTGCTCCAACAACAACTGCAGCTTCACCAACCACAACAACAGCTGTTGCACCCTCAACAACAGCTGCTCAAACCACAACCACAGCTGCTCCACCCATAACAACAGTTGCACCAATCACAACAACTGCTGCTCCAACCACAGCAACAAGTGCACCAATCCCAACAACAGTAGCACTAACCACAACAACTGCTGCTCCAAAAGCGACAACAGCTGCTCCAACCACAGCAACAAGTGCACCAATCACAGCAACAGTAGCACCAACCACAACAACTGCTGCTCCAACCACAACAATGGTGGCACCAACCACAACAAC